AAATTTATCATCATTGATATATATATATAATTTATGTAAATAAAATGATTTATTAATAAATTAAATTTTTTTTTTTTTTTTTTTTTTTAGGTTTCCGTTAGGTTTTCTCGTCTCCCCGTGGATCCCATTAATTGTGGTAAACCTGGAACCAAATTAAAATAATGTGGAAGAGATTGGGTAAATTGTCCAGCAAATTCTGTACCGTTTGGTAATGGTTGCATTAGTATGGAAAAACCTCCTAGAAACATGGTTGGACTTTTAAAAGCGGAAGTAGTTGATATACCATCTAATGAAAAAAAAAAAAAACCGTTAAAATTAAAGGTAAGAAAAGGATTTAATAAATTTTTAAACTTACCTTGTACGGCCGTTGACAAAAAATCACCGATTCCACCACCATTTGGTATTATTTGTAATTTTTTATTTCTTAAATAAATTGATTTCATTGGTACGAAACCACCTGATACCTGTTTATAAACAAACAAATATTTCTTTTCATTTGTTTAAATAAAAAAAAAAAAAAAATAATAATAATAATAATAAAGAAAACTTACAGAATCCATTTTATTTTTTTCAATAAACGGAAAACAATCCATACCTTTTTGTTGTAGAGTAAAAAAACAAATAAAAAAAATTATAATTAAATTCCAATTCATTTTTTTTCTTTTAAATAAAATAATTTAAATTTAAACAAATTAAATTATAATAATAATAATAAATATTCAAACATTTCTTCCATTTTATTCTTATTTATTTATATAATTATCACCACCCTCATTTCATTATTATTATTATTATTATTATTATTTTAAGGTTTAAAAACAGGTTTTTAATAAATTTAATGCGGGTATTTCCCCTCCCCCTCCCCTCGTCTCCTCCCACGGGGGGATTAATTAAAGGAAGTAATAATGATATTAATTTAAAAAAAAAAAAAAAAAAAAACAAGTTTTCATATCTCTAACCTCCTTTTTTTTATGTTTGCAAATTATTTTTCTTCTTGTGTATTTTCTTATCGACAAATCCAAAAGAGGTTTCCCTCGAGTGATTTACTTTAAAATTTTTTTAAAACCCACATAATATTATCATATCAATTTTTTTTATTGATAACCTCTTGTTTATAATCCTTCTGGATGGGTAATAAACTGTTATTAATAATCCTTCTGGATAGGTAACAAACTGTTGTTTATAATCCTCCTGGATAAATAACAAACTGGATTTTTAATTAATCATTATAGAAAAAAGAGTAGTAGTAATAATAATAATAATAATAATAATAATTAATAAATCACATTGAAAACTATTATGCGCATTTATTTTTTAACAATTAATTTTACTTTAAGTTCAATATATTATCATTTATATATATATATATATATATATATTTATATATATATATAAGATACATATTTTGAAATTTAAAACATTTTTTTACTTTTTTCTTCTTTTTTTCTTTCTGTACAATTCAAATAATGTACACGATGATAATGATAATGTTTATTTATCATCATAATATTTTAAATATTTTTCAAAAAACTAATAACTCCATCTTAATTTAAAAAATAAAATAAAATAAAATAATAATAATAAAATAATAATTACATATTTCAACATAATATTAATAATAATAATAATAATAATAATAATAATAATAAAAGACGAAAAATCATTAATAATAATAATAATAATAATAAAACATGATATTCGCGAGCGTGAACGACGAATGAAAAAATTTTTTTTATTTTTTTCTTTACGTATTTTAATAAAATATTATTATTATTATTATTATTATTATTATTATTATTATTATCTCGGATTGAATGAATTCGTTATTACAAATTTTTTCATTTTATTAAAACTATTATGAATTGGACGTAATTAAAAAAAAAAAAAAAAAGAAAAAAGAAAGTAAAATAAATAAATAATTTAAATTTTCTTACATAAATTACATAAAGATATTATTATTATTATTTTTGTTGTTGTAGTAGTGGTGGTGGTGGTGGTGTTGATGTTTTCTACATTTGATTACAAATTTAAACAAAAAAAAAAAAAAATTAAATATATTTTATTCATTTACAATTCGTCGATGATTCAAACCATTTAAATTCGATTACATTTAAAAAACTCATTAAATCAAGTAAAAACATCATCATTATTATTATTATTTCAATAATTTTACCACCATTTTCTTAAATAAATAAATCGATAGTACACAGAAAAAATTAATAATAATAATAATAATAATAATAAACAAAAAAAAATAATAATAATAATAATCCATCACCATTATTATAGGCATTTTCCCCTCTATCTCTCTCTCTCTCTCTCTCACACCCACGCACTCACGCACGCACATCAGCCATTTTGTAAACACAATCAAATAAAAAGATTTTCCTTATTTAAATTTCATTTTATATACTATTATTAAAATTAACATTATTATCAACAACAGAGATTTATAAATATTGCAATCAATCAATCATTAATTAATTAATTTTTTATTCTTTTTTAATCATCGGAACTAATGATAATAATAATAATAATAATAATAATAATAATAATAAAAGCATCAGAAAAAAAAATAAACAATAAGAAATAAAAAAAGTTAATAATTATGATTAAAAAATTAAAACAAACAAAATTTTTTAACATTTGATCGATTATAAAAAAAAAAAAAACTAAATAAATAAATATTATTATTATTATTATTATTTAATAAATTTAAAATGCATTCGTTGTAATATGAATTGTAGATAATAAATAAATAAATAATAATAATAATAATAATAGTAACAAACATGAAAGAAAAAAAAAAAAATAATAACAACAACGTTAAATTAAAAATCACGGGAAAAAAAAATTTGAATTTTATGTTTATTTATTTTATTTAAATTAAATGACGGACCCCCCACGCTCCCCGTCAACCTCCCCCCCCCTCATCAATCATTTCGCCTTTTGTTTTAATAAATTTAAACATATTCACCGAGTAAATTTCAAAAAAAAAAAAAAAAAAGTTTTCTTTTTTAATAAATGCATAAATGATTTTAATAACGCACACGCACACACACACACACTTTTCCTTTTTTTTTCCTTTTTTCCTTTAAATTATAAATAATAATAATAATAATAAAATAAATATTTTTATTTTTTGTATACATTAATATAAAATAATAATAATAATAATAATAATAAATGGCTCGTAACATTCGTCTTTAACGCATAAAATAAAAAATTATTCCAATTCATAATTTATTTATTTATTTATTGATTCAAATTTTTTTTTTAAATAAAATTTTTAGCAACCTTTGATATTTTTAATTATAGAAAAAATCCCCTTTTAACTTTTATTATTATTATTATTATTATTGCTTCGATAAAATTTTTTCTTTTTTTTTTTTTTTTGATAATGATTTTTTTATTACACACTATGTTAATCAATTTTTACCTCACCGTTTATAAATAATTAATTAATTAATTAATTAATTTTATTTATTTATTTATTTAAATGAGAGCTTTTAATTATTTATCTGTTTATTTAAATATCAATTCGAAACAATTCAAAAAAAAAAAAAAAAAAAATTATTCGAAATGAATGAAAATTTTTAAAATAATTAAAGCTCTGGGTTATTATCTCTCTCTCTCTCTCTCTCTCTCTCTTAATTATTTAAATGAATAATAATAATAATTAACTTTTAGATTTTTTTCACGTAAATTATTATTTTAATAAAACATATTTGCCCAGTTTTTTTTTTTTTTTTTGTTTCTCACAAGTTAAGAAATTGCACCTTTACAATCTTAATAATAATAATAATAATAATAATATAGGCAACAACTAAAATTTTCTCTCTGATTTTAGTTTTTTTTTTTTTTTTTTTACAATTAATTCCACTTTTGACAACTTCTTTAAACCTTGACAAATTTTTTTTTAAGTTACAAAATCCTCGTTTTTACTATTTGTACTATACAATGGGGGGGATGATCCCCTTCCTCTTCCTTCGTATTCTGTTCCTTCTCTTCTATCCTCGCTTTCCGAACCGGAATCCCTTTTATCGAGCATGTTTCTGAGTTCGATGAGTTGTTCGTTTTCGTACAATCTTTTGACTCCCCTGGGAAGTCCTCGGCAAGATTGAAGATTTAACGATTCCAAATTACTGCATTTACTTAACAATGCTTTAACGGGCTCCAAAGTCACAGACGATCCGCATAAATTCATCACTCTGAAATAATTTAATTTTTAAACCGAATAAAATTAAAATTAAAATTTTTTAACCGAAAAATTTTATTTTATAAATTCTAGGACGTACCTGAGAGGAGACTCCGAACCCTTTTCCGCAAACGCCATAACAGCTGCATTCAAATCATCGGTGACTGTCGTCCATGCCAAGTCAACTTCGACCAAACTGTGACACCATTTTTGCGCAATGAGTTCAAGGCCGGATCCGCATTGACGAGTGACATAGCAACCTGATTAAACAAAAAAAAAAAAAAAAAAATTATGGTATATTATTATTATTATTATTATTATTATTTTTGATAAAAATTAAATTTCGTACTGAAAATTATATTAACCTGATAAAAACAAATGTTGAATATCCCAAGCAGGAACTCGTACCAAACTCGAATCCGTTATACGCGTACAACCTCTTACGTCCAAGAGTTTGAGTTTGTGAGAAGTTTTGAGTATTCTTTCCAAGCAGTTATCATCCATGACGGAAGTGATACGAAGACTTTCAGTTCCTTGATGACCTGCTATGCTCAATTCTTCCAAATTGGTGAAACCTGGTGATGCCACCTGAAAATTTCATCAAATAAGTTGAACTTCTCATGCATGTCCTTGATAAAAATGAAGATTCGGTGATTTGGGGTAAGTACATTGTTTGTTCTTGTTTTTTTTTTTTTTTTTAATTAAAAAGAAAAGTAAAATAAAGTTCGTAAAAGTTGAAGAGATTATCGGCACAAAACATGTAGGAAGTAGGAACTGATTTCATACCTGCTTTTCTAAAGGTACGTTTGCCAAAGTGATGCAACTATTCGTGATTCTTAAAACTTTTAATTGTTGACAACCTTCCTGAAGATGTTCAATGTTAAGAGCAAATTCCGTGTGAGAAACTCTTCTTATATTCGATAGATCAAGCACTTGAAGATTGGGACAATGAGTCTGAAATAAATTTAACGTTATTTCACCCTTCTTTGTGTAAATAATTAAAAAAAAAAAAAGACTTTTTGTCTTTTTACTTACTGCTAAACTGCTAATTATTTGCGGAAGGCATGTGAGGGTGTTGTGAGCCAAAATAAGTTGCGTTAATCTTTCTCCCATACTCTGAGTTAAAAACGTGATTGATTTTTGAGACACCGCACTATTTGCACTTTTTGACTCGGGCTGTAAAATAAATTAGTCACAATAACTATTATTATTTTTAATTAAAAATATTCCATACCGATGTAGGAATGTTACTTACACTAACGTCTGATAAATCTAATTTGCTAAGTCTCGGACAGTCTTGCAAAAGGGATTTTAAATGTTCGTAATGCAAACCCTGCCAACCCCCTAATCCGATGCTTTCAATATCGGTGCAATGTGTTCCAATCAGACTCAGTACCATTGTTATATTTGAAAATTTCCATCCACCTATTCAAATAATGCAACAAAACGCTTTTTAGTTCATTTAAAAATAAAATATTAAATTTTTTTTTTTTAAACAAGGGAAACTTACTTAAATTTAATTCGCGTATATTTTCTAAACGATTTTCCAACAACCACCTAAAATATCTATCTATTTTACATTTTTGCTTTATATACGGACTAGATAGGTCGATATTTTGCCACAACTCTGGCTGATTAGCAACAGTGTTCCAAGATTTACAAACAAAAGATAACCTGTAATACAATTATTATTATTATTTTAATTATAGATGGTTGAATCGTGATAGTCACCTATAACAAAAAAAAAAAAATTTACCTAACAAGTGAAGGCACACATCCTTGATCCTCAACAACGTAGTGAAATATTTTTTGTAATATATTTGGGGGTAATTTATTTCCCCATTCAGTCTGTTCTTCAGCTTCGGATTCTTTAGAGTGATTTGAAAATCTGACCACTTTTTTACACCTCTTTGATTTACCGTCTTCCTCGTCATCCGAACAAAATTGCCTTTTGCTCCTTCGCTTTTTCTGAGGTTTCACTCGTTGAAAAGCAGAGGCCACTTTGATTTTTAACTTGATTCCAGTTTCTTCTGGAGACATTAAACTTTGGTAAATAGTAACTCTTTTCCTGTTCCTTCTTTTCGTATTGGGTAAATTTGAATTGTTGTCAGATTTTTTTCGCCGTCTCTTCGATTTACTAAAAAATTCTTCACCGAATGAAACTCTATCCATTTGTGATATATTTTGAGCATCGACATTCAGTTTATTTGTTTCTACTTCAGGTACATTCAAAAATTCAGTCTTAACACTACAGGCTTCATTTATTCTCGGCAAAGTTTTTAAATCACTTCCTTCTTTTTCTATTCCAGAGGAACTAGTTAGGTAAAATTCACAGTCACTCTTATCGGATAACGTCCGCTTAACAGATTTTTTACTGTTTAAAGAATCATCTACGCGCTTTTCGGCAGAAAACGGAATTGAAAATTGCCTAATTATTTCTTTGACAGACGAACCATCGGATTTCGTAGAACCAGTTAAATTCAAGTCTAATTTTTCATCTGACTTTTTAGGAGAGCACATTGATTCTTCAATCAATTTTGACGTTTCTGGCGAGTCAATCATAGATTCTGGATTTTCAATTTTAGGCTTGGTTTGATGTAAATTTGACGAAGGACTTTTGGCCTCTATTTTTTTCAAGCTACATGGTGGGTTGTGGTAAGTTTCTGAGCCCTGAACAGGCCCATTTATTTTATGACTAGGACTATTGGAAGTCAAAAGATTGTTGCTGCTGCCCATCGGGCTATAGCTTTCTTCTACTCTGAGTGGTGTTCTTCCTAAAGGGCTGCCTTCTTCTATTCTTAATGGAGTTTTTATGTTAGTTAAAGGACTTGTACTATCTTCAACCCTAAGAGGAGTATGACCGCTACCCATAGGGCTAATACTTTCATCACTTCTAATGGGTGTTCTATTACTCGATAAAGGACTTGCACTTTCGTAACTGGTTGCTGGAGTACGAACACTAGTTTCAACACTTGCACTGGGGCTTAACCTAGTCATAAAATTATTTTGAATAAAGTGTTCCGATGAATTTGAACCACAGCTAATTTTATCATGAGTACTGCCAAATAAAGCAGAGTTTCCATTTTTATCAATTGAACTTTGAAAACTATGACTCAATCGATTCTGAGAATGAAAATTTATGTTATTTATGGAATCACAAACTATACCATTCCATGCGACATTTTCATATTCACTGCATTTAACTATCATATCACTAGACTCCAGTTTATTATAATTGCCTAAAAAGTCTTGGGTAACTTTTTCCGAATTATTTCCGCACATTCCACCGAAAAGAGTGCTTGGAAGAAGATTTGAGTTATCTGTAACAGTCCTGCAATCTATATTGACACTTTTATTGGGCACAGATGCAGATGCATATGGATTTAGAGTATTGCTTGATAAAGGAATATTTTTAACCAAATTATCCAGCAAAATATTAGAATTCTCTATTACACTTGATGGCATGTCTAATTGTGAAACTGATAAAGGTAAATTAAACCCAGTTCTGGTATGGTTTAATAAAAGCCCCGAGGGCTGATTGCATCCATAACCATGAGACCACATATTATCATGAGAAGTGCTGCCAATCTGAGCAGAAGGTACGGAAAAATTTTTGGCAGTACTATTGTGATCTATCATTCCTGTAGGACTTATTAAAAAATCCCTTAAAGATTCATTTTCAGTAACATTTCCAATTTGTGCAAATAGCTCTGCATGATGATCAAATACTTCTCCATTTTTTTCATCCATTTTAAATAAATGCTACTGACTTCAAGTCATATTGTAAGAATTTTCACAACTTTATCCTACATTTTATTACACTATAACTTGAAATTATTATTGATTTTTTAAATTTTTAACAAATTTTTATGTGAAGTCCATGTTCTTTGTTGTAACTTCATCTTCAAGGATTTTCTATTTTTTTTTAGGTACCCAATCCAATTTATTAATCTGAAAAAAAAAAAAAAGTTTTTGAAAAAATCAAGAGTAAAATATTAATTTAAAAAAAAAAAAAAAATTCTCAAGCAACAATGAAAGTATGTTCTTTTTCTATTCAATTATATTACATCAATAATGAAAACATTATCTTGAGAAAACTGAAAAGGCTACCCGGGGGAGGGGGGTGGTGGAATTTTTTTGTGGCAAAATTTATTGAAATTTAATTTGTTTGATAACATTGTAAAAATTCAAAAATTTTATACAGTCGGCAATGAAATAATAGTTATGACAACAAGGAACAAAATGCACAACAAAAACGAATTTGACCTACTTTACCTTCAAATGTAGGAACGCGGGAGGAAATCCAGCCAATAGGAGAAAACATACATCATGTTGGTAATCACATTCATCCGTCAAAATAGGCTGTTTACAAACATGACAGTTAGTTGGCTAAACTGCTCTAAAAACTTCCATAACTCTTTTTTTTTTCACAATTAAAAAAATTTCATAATTCAATATCCGAAAAAAAGAGAAAACGTTTACTCGATAACCATAGATAAAAAATACATTTAAAATATTTTAATTGCGCACGAATGAAAGTTGATTGTAGACGCTAGCACAGCTGTGTTCGATTTTTGAACTTACTTGTCGCGCCTACTTATAGAAAATCCTATTTTTTTTAAACAAATACGATTAATTTTTTATAACTTCAACGATTTACAATTAATACAATAATTAAATAAATTATTTAAAAAAAAAGAAAAATTAAATATAGTTCTTAAATTAATAAAAATCTATAATTTTTTTAACACCCAGCGACCGTGCCACTGACCTTCGACCAACAGGAAGCGAAACTGGTTCTTTTTTTTATCAATAGAGGGAGCCAAAGACAATGGAAAAACCTTTGATAGTGGCGCATTTAATATCCGGTTTTGGCGGTCGGTTAAAATTATTTTTTTTTTAAATTATGTTTTCCAAGTCGAAAACTATCGAATTTTTAACGTATTTTTTCCAATTAGAATACTCGACGTTTACAAAATATTATTAGAAATCATTTATTAAGTGAGTTTTATGTATATTACTCCGCTTTTTAACAGATCACCAGAAAATTACTTAAACGCTATTATAAGTGGTTCGTTTTGTGGATTGAATTTTTAAACGTATTCAAAATACCTTTGAAATTTAAAAAATTGTATATTTATTTGAGTTTAAATAATTTATTTCGGTATTAGTTTTAAAGATTTATCAAATTTTTATTGAATTTTCAAAAGTGTGTTAAATTTTTTATACATGATTGATAGATTTTCGTTATGAAATAACTGTTGCTAATAGGGAGGGTATTCATAAAGCTTCTCCTTTTGAAAATCATAGTAATAATAATAATTTTAATAAAAAAAAAAAAAGAAATTTTTAACAAAGGAAAAGCTCAAAGGAACATTTATTTAAACAGGTTAAATCTGATTATGCACAGAACAAACAGCGTTTAATAATGACGTACTAAAGAGAAATTCAGTCGTGCATGTTCCGTTATCGTGGTACAACATGTTGCTGTTTTAATTTCGTGTAAGCCAACCATAAATTTTTACTTTTTTTTTAAATCCAGTTTTTGAAAACCAAATTAATATTTAAACGATTTAAAATCATATAATTTTATTTCCTTTTTTTTTTTTTTTTTAAATAACTGCTCATTAAAAAAACGGTTAAAACTTTCATCGATTAATTTTCTTTTTTTTTTTTTTTTTTTTACATAAAGTTGTAAAGTAAAATAAAATTTATTATTTAATCATTATAATTTTAAATTACATTCATAAAAAATATTTAATGTAAGGTCTTTTATTATTATTATTATTTTTAAGTAAATATTAAATTTTTTTTTTTTTTTGTTTTATGATTCGAAATGTATACTTTTTAAATGTTTTTACCATTCAATTAACTATTTTTTGCGAAAAAAAATTTTAAATTATGGTTTATTAATCATAGGATAATTTTACAAATTAGAATGATGGAAAACAAATTTGTTAATATATATTTTTATTAAGTAAAATTTTAATTAATAATTTAAGGTATTATAGGTATTTTTCTGGAAAAAGTTTATAAATATTTGATATTTAAGAAAATATTTAGAATTTTTAAATGTAGAACATATTGCGACTTATTCAAGTCAGTTTATCAATTGTAAAAAAAAAAAAAAAAAATGTACATAATTTTATTAATTTTTTTTTATCGATTTATTTAAATTTTTTCAATTAATTTTTTTTTTTTTATTTAGGTAAATAAGACTGAAAATAAACAGTCGAAGACATGAGCAACTTTTTTTTTCCCCAATATGGAGGGCCCTGTAATGACGTCGGGTTCTAGTCATCGTCTGCGTTCTGCTGTTAGCGCATGCGCTCAACCCACCCATTCATACTTACACTCATCCTACCTGAGTACCACCAACAACAACACTCAGTGTGCATCTCACAATTTCGGTGGTTGCATTAAGGGATACAATAATAATAATAATAATAATAATACTAATTTATTTTATAAAAATGGAAATATCGAATTTTTTAACAAATTAAAACGCAACTCGTGCAATGACAACAAACCAATCTCCTGTGTTAAAAAACGTGAGAAAAAAAACACCGTATTAAATCGTAGTTGTTGTTGGGAAATTAAAAGTCGGAAAAAGAACAAGATAAAAAATTGCAATAATAATGATGATGATGATGATGATGGAAAGGAAAAAGAAGAAGAAGAGTGTTGTTGTTGTTGTTGTTTATCAAAGAGCGATGCCCTCTGCAACATTTATCCAAAACAATTTATGATAAGAAAAATATTTTATTCGATATCGAGTAAAAAATTGCTTAAAGTAAAAAATTCGGTTGATTATTATTATTATTATTATTATTTTGATGAGAGTTTCATAAATGAAATCGTTAAAAACAAAAAAGGAAAGAAACAATTGATAATCGGTATAAAATATAATAATGAAATTAATAAAAACAAATTTTTGAATAAAGTAAACAATAAAAAAACCGGAAACGGAAAATTATCGTGTTATTATTATTATTATTATTATTATTCAACGAATAAATGTAATCGTGTTAAAAAAAGGAAAAAGAAAAACGTTGTTGTTGTTGTTGTGTTTAAAAATTTAAATTTTAAAAATTTTAGTGAAGTGTTTTATAGTGGAGTGAAAGAAAAAAAAAACTTTTTTCTCATATTAATAAATGAAAATAAGAATAATAATATAACAAAATGGCAACCAAAACATGTAGTGACTAGAAGGACGGGATTTACAGTGAGGTAAGATTTATTTTATTTTATTTTATTTATTAATTAATTCATTTTTTATTTAAAATGACTGACTTTAAAAATTTCTATCATTTTTTTTTTTTTTTTTTTTGATAGTATATATTGTTTATCACGAACGTGACAACATGTTTTGTGACCTATCATTAACCGTCATTGAAAATTTATTTTTTGTTATGGATTCACTTTTTAATTAATCAATCAGTCGATCGTGTAATTAGAATAAAAATTTTTAATTTTCGTATGATCTCATCGAAAGAATTTTTTTTTTTAAAAATGAAATTATTTATTTATTTTATAGGTAAAGTTTAAAAAAATTGTTGTTTGTTTTTTAAAAGGTGGCATATTTCCTTTGGCGGTTATGTTTATGTTGTAGACCTTGATTAGAACGAGGTTGATTGAAATTTAAAAAATAAACGTCATTATTAATTCGTTAATTTTTTCTACTCCCACGTTGAGTTTTTTCGGTTTTTTTTTTTTTTTTTACGCACTTATCGATATGTTGTAATAATAATAATTTTAAAGTATATGCGCCATATTTGTGTTAAAGTCATGAGGAAGTTTTTGTTTTTTTTTTTCGGGTTGTTTTTCCAAGGTTGAGTCAATGCAGACCGAGCCTGGTTGGTTTCCTTTAAATTATTATTATTATTATTATTATTCTCTTGTAAGGTATATAAAAAAATTGCAGCAGGCTTTATCGGCTAGTCGTCGAGTTCTGTTGTTTTGTATTTATTTATTTATTTTTATGTTAAAAACGATTGTTTTGTAAAAAAAATAAAAAAAAAAAAAAATTGCAAAATGTTACTACATTCTCCCTCTTAACCGTGTTTATTTGCCCTAAATTAATTCAAGGCTGGAATGTTTTTTGTTTTGTTTTGTTTTGTTGGCATTATTTTATTTTTCAACCAATCAATTTATCCAAAACATTTGGCCCAATTATTTAAAACCCAAGCACAAGGTAATAAATTAAAATATTCAACATTCATATTAATTTGTTTTTTTTTTTTTTTAAGGGGGGGATGGGGGGTGGGTGGGCAATTTGAGGCCAAAGCTTTTTTAAAAATTTAAATTTTATACATTTAAAAAAAAAACAAAAATCACGTCCCCCTTTTTCTTTAATAAAAAAAAAAATTATTCAAATCACGAATTTTTTTTTTCTTTATATGAATCGTTGACGTAATTTACAAAAAACATTTTTTAACTAATAAAAAAATTTTTTTTTTTTTTTTTTTTTTTTAAACGTTTATTTCATTCAAATTTAAAAAAAAAAAAAAAAAAAAAACGAGGTGAATAAAAAAAGCTTCCTTATTTTTTTTTTTTTTTCGTCCCTAGGAAAAAAGCTGGTAATTTATAAATAACTTTAGATCAAGTCCAAAAATATTTTTTGTTGTTGTTGTTGTTTTCAATTTCAATATTCCAACACAAAATGACGATTTAAATAAATAAATGAATAAATAAATAAACAACGCGCCCGGTTATTTTTTAAAAAAAAAAATCGTTTTGCCTTGAATTTA